TGTTGGGGGCGATATGCTGACTCTGTAAACCGCTTAGAGAGGGCTGAAAGCCCTATGAAGCGGTATATAAGTCTAACTGCTATTGCTATAACCTGGATCCATGCCATGAAGGGCTTTAAAGGTAATAGCCAAAACCTTGAATTGGACTAGGAAGCCAACTGGCCACCAGTGCAGCTCATGGAACAAATGATTTAACTCGGGCCACCCAGGCAGTGGTGGGATTGAGCCAGTTTGCATCGCTGTGGGAGAACCGGTTCTTAACTTTCTGAGCAAAATTGGTATTAGTTGTCATTAGGGTAGAGAACCGGTTGTTAAATTATTTGAACACCACCACTGTACCCAGGGACCCCAAGAAGAGCCTACACAGCTGTGTTCTGTGCCAGCTGGACCTTCCGGATAGTCTTCAATGGTAGTTCCATGTAGAACGTGTTGCAAAAATCCAGCTGTGAGATGACCAGGTTGTGCACAGGATCTGACTAATCGAGAAAAGGGCTATAAGAGTTTAAAGCTACACAGAAGTTCTGATGGTTCTTTGAATCCTTCAAAGTTCTGCTCATTCTGTCCCTTTTTACAGTGGGGGGGATATTTCTAGATTTCAAGCTTGCAAAAAAAGTAGTTTGAACAAGAAAGAAAATGAGTTTTTACAAGCTGAAAGTTAAATGAAAATTGCAAAAAAATAAATAAATACAAATGGTTAATGCTTCAAAGAGTGTAAGTAGCTGAAGATCCCCAGGCGTTTTCTGGATTGCCATAACATATTGATTCCAAGCCTATTAGGAAGTAGTTTCTGGCTTACAAAGGCAATAAACGTTTGGCAAAAGTATGCCTTTGCTAGACTTGAAGTAAGAAAGACAGTTCTTAATTAAAGCAGACAAGCTTACCAATTCATATTTTATGCATTTGTGGAGCTTTAATACAGCCACAACTAAAAGGTTGGTTCAGGAACATTGAAACCTCTTGTAACCTTTTAACAAAGCACTTTTGACTTAATTGATGTGCTTAATGCTACTATGATGAGGCCTATCCAACATGCTAAAGATATTTCAAGTAAAGGCAAATGAAATATTTACTCCGGTTCTCTTCTATACTTGCATACTTTTTCATTCTTCCCACAGAGGGCATAATAGAATAATTCCAAACATCTGTAGTTGGAGGAGAGTTTTATTGTTTTTAGTGGGATTTATCCTATTTACTGTAAGCTGCTGAAAGATCCATTCCAGAGTTATACAGTTAAGAGTTAGCAATAGCAATAGCAGTTAGACTTATATACCGCTTCATGGGGCTTTCAGCCCTCTCTAAGCGGTTTACAGAGTCAGCATATTGCCCCCA